CATCATGCCGCACAACATGTAAAATTACTTTTTTGAAAGAAAAATGCAAGCAGTGAAATTTCAGAAGTCAAAATTAGCTTCTGCTGTCCCCTAGTGGCATTGCATTTTTTTCCACAAATGCGATCAAAAGACATTTTCAAATCAAATGTATGTTCCATGGACTACAGCAGGGCACAAAACTAAAGAAATTAACTGCCAGAGGGATTGATTTCCCAAAGAATGCCTACACAAGTTTTTCATATTTCCTTAGACTGTTTGAATTAAAACTCATAAGAAACAAAAGGACTTCGTAGGATCTTAAAATCCATACATTTTGAATGCCTCGTGAAAAGCCTTTTGTCACATTATAAAAGATATTACCACAGTATTTTTCAATATTTTAAAAATCACTTATGGATTTGTCCAGACTTTAAAGGCATATCCACAAAATGCAGGTAGGCAAAACATTTTCTAGTAACATTAGATACAAAACAGCACTTGCCATTCACTGAAACAAACTGTCTTTAAATTAATCATACTGGGGAAAAAAATACCAGCCTGGCAAAGTAAAAGCATTCTTGCGTATTTCCTAATTTTTTTTCAGTTATGGGAAGTGAGTGCTATTTTACCAAAGATCAAAGATGAAGAAAGCTTTTCCTTCTAGACTTAAATATATTTATTTTTCCATATAATATAATTTCATTTCAAAAGTAAATAGTATCCTAAAAGCCAGTTTTAATCATAGTTGACACACAGGCTCCTAATTAACTAAGATATTTAATTTAGCTTTCAATCCTTGCAATTATGCACTCTCATGGCCCATGAAACTTTCTAATTATCTCTAACCTTATTAATGATGACTATTAAACTGCAGTTTAATTTTTATTAAGTTTCTAGAGACAATATAGGCATCACACATATGAACACTATCCTCTGAATACAGCTCCCACACAGAGTTGGTTAAAAAAAAATATTTTATTATCCATTTTTATTTAAAATTCAAAGTGCACAGACTAGATCTGAAATTAAAGCAGAGTCACAATTTTCTACATTTTTCCCCCAATATATGTTCCTCTAAGATGTTATTTCTGCCTCAGTAAACATATCTTTTACAGGCGTTACAAGAATTTGGCAGATTCCCTCACAATGAAAACCTCATACACAGCAGCCTTACAATTGATCTGTGCATTAGATTAGGAGTCAGTAAACACCTGAAAATAGGGATGTACCAAGGGTGGGCCACAGCACAACCACTTAGTATCCAGGTCCACTCTAATTGGGGCTGGAGCCCCCCAAATCCACTTGCTGGGACTACTAACTCTAGCTTGGTGTCCATCAGAGTTCTCTAATTTTTTCCACCCATGAATGGAATGAATTTTATGTACACTAATGTGGAGGTGATGTGTAGCCTGGAGCCCCTGTGTGGGGCTATATAGTTCCTGGGTGGAGCTTAATGAGAATCTGTACAACCACATGTCTATGAAACTTCGGGGGAACTATAGTGTTCATCCATGCCGCTCTCTTGCTGACACCTCACACTGCTGCCCCAGTTTCCAACCCCCATGAGGCACAACTCCCATATGGGAGGGTGAGAGTCATCCAAGATCAGGGGATCCTCACAGGGGCAGGTCTGGGTGGAGCTAGCACTTTGCCTGGAGACTGATGTGGACAGACACCAATGCAGAGTGGGGAGAGGTGGGTGGAGCTCTAGTCCTGGCTGTGACCCTCTGCCCCATGGGCATCCTCCGCAGCCTGTGTGCTCTAGGCAGCAGCATCTTCAGGTTCCTGATGAGCATTAAGGGCCATCTGAAGGGGGATAGGGAAGGCAGGCTCTCTCTCATCATTGCCCACCCACCCCATTTTCCTGTCCTAGCTATGCCACTGCCTGTAAAGCTTTCGCTAGAGAAGGACACGGCTCTTTCTAAATCTCAGCTCTGCCAGCAAAAATATCTGAAGGCTATTTATCACCCTTCCCTTGAAACTTCAGTAAAGCCTTAAATACAGGCTATGGAAAAATTCATCTAAAAGGAGATCCCAACAAAGATAAGGTGAAGTCAAGAGGTAGTCAGTCTATATGGCAGATAGAGCCTTTCAGCAAAGAAACAAGCCTTTTGTCACGAACATTCATCTAAGCTCTATCCACACTACCACTGCCTGGTCACAGAAAAAGTCCTATTTTAAAAAGGCTCTAGGAAACAGCACCCTTCATATACTACAAAGTGTTCTCAGCAGTATTAGAATTAAATCACATTTCTTTTCCCCCTTTTTAATAGTCATGTTAATAACATTTACACGTGTACAGGTGTTTTAGCCTCCAAAGTGCTGTAGAAGCATTCCCCATAGCATCTGAGTCAGTCAAGTCATCCCATCTTAAAGGTGTGGAAAATCAGGCACGTAGAGGCTGACATACAACAGATAAGTACCTTAATGCTGACAAAACTCTCAGGAATATTGCTAGAAGCTGCAGGTATGCAATAATTGACTACATTTTCCTTTCCTGGACAATACTGTGATGCCACAAAATGCAGGACAATGACACCATAACAGACTTAAGTTCAAGGAGAGAAGGACTGGGTTATCACCATGCATATATTTTACTTCCATGCAGAGACCCAGTAACAATGAGGTCAAACATAGAAGTATCTACAAATGCAAGCTCTTGCAGCACTGAATTCAAGTGTACCAGGAGATAAGAGCGAAAGTGGTATATCAAAAGGTAAGTAACATTTAATAGGTTTTTAAAGAATGCAAAGGTTCATTTCATAACCAGTTACAAACTCATCACCCCCTTTTAGAAGGGGGGGGGAAGAGGCAAACTTACAAAACAGTCTGCAGCTTTTTCACAGTGGTAAAAATATCACTACAGTGATTTTTTCCATTTCTTTGCAATATATCTGTATCTGCTATTCTAACAAACTCATCTTTCAGTAGCACCTCCTGTCCTGCTGAGCAAGATCTAGCTCCCCACTCCACATCATAATTGAAGGGTGTAGCCAGACAGAAACCCCGCTGTAACATCCATTTTTGCTTGCCTGGAGCATACAGGGCACACAGAGCAGAAGGCCCAGGCTGTGTGACCGTGAATGGTAAACAGAGATATGCCAATTGCTGACCAAGAGGCTGCCAAGGAGTGCCCTTGACTTAACCCATATTGATACGAACACACAGCCGTCCGCGGGGGGGAGGAATCTCTCGCCCAGTAAAAAAATGTCTAGTACTCACAATTTAGTTCTCTCTCTTGCAAGTGTAAATTAAGTTGAAACTTGCTTGTAAGAACTGACGTCACAAAAACGGACAAGTACAATTCGGCATCTTAGATAAAGAAGATACGGGTCCCCAGGAGTATAAAGATGGGTCCAGCAGCACATTTACTCTGAGTGTCAATCTACCATCTATCTGCTGGTCGGGTTAGGTGTTTGATCTCCCGAGGTTCCAAGGGGACGCCCACCTTGTATTCGTCTTTCCTAGGAATTGAGAGACCGGCCCTGGCCTGACATGCTGGAGTCGAGAGGCACAGAAAGGGGTAAAAATTGTATCTGGATGTGGTCCTTTGTCTTAAGTGTACACATAGACTTGGAGCTCTTTAAAGATTAAGCTGTCACTTGGTACCATTATTTCTATTTTCTATCTTTATTTTCTTTGTAACTATTTTTAAAATCTGTATTTGCTAACAGTTAAAAAAGAGCAATAGCCATTGTAACCATATGCTTTTATAAGTTTTTTTTAATAAACCTGTAACTGTTTAAGTTTTTAACCTGACTCCTTCAGTTGCTGTAACAGAACCAAGCACAGTTTAAAAGAACTTCAGCCGGTCATAAGAGACGGACATAGAAAGAGCTTGGGAGTTTGGATCTGTGTCACTCCCAGGTGACAGGTCCATTGAGGCACCTCTCAGTCTTTCCCAGACTGCCCGCTGCGAAGGAATTCTGTGTTCTAGCAGCTAAAATCTGAGGTGTAATAAGCTCTTCCTATAAAGGGGTGTCTGTTGGCCTGCTGGCTACCCTCTGCGACGGGACCCCGGTCCTAGCAGTAAAGACACAGACGTTAAACCTTTTCTCGGAAACACACACACATACACACACACACACACACACACACACACTGCCCTGACCGTCGGCTGACAAAGTGCTGCTATGACAACCCCATGCACCACATGGCAGCAACCAAAGTGGGAATCCAGTCAAGGCCAGAACTGCCATTGCTGGGTAAGTGTGGAACTGACTTGTTGTTCATCCCTACCACCTCCTTACTCAAGGCTCTCACTCAACTCCTTATTTGACATGGATTTTTTTTTAAATATCAAAAATCAAACCCATGAGACTATTGAATTTAGCACAGCTGGCTCAATGATTACTGATAAAATATGCTACGACAAATCTTCAACACTTCATCTGAGCTGGAATGCCCCCTCAAGTCTGTATCATTTTGAAGTTTTTATCTACTGAGCTTCCAAACAAGTAGTCATTTCTTATGTTTCTTTCAAGAAATTACTTTAGTTAGTAAAGAGTTAAATTTAAGTTGTTCCTATTCCTCAAAGTATGATTGTATTAAAAGCTGGAAAATGATTGTTTAATGACATCAGAATTTTCCCCAAACAAAATCACTGCATCATTCTTTTCAGAAAAATGTAATGCCACTGGAAGTAAATGGACTGCCACCCTAAGATTAAAGTCTTAATTTATCTATAGAACAAGTACAGCACAAGCGTCTCAACATCGTAAGTGAGCTTCCATTCTGCCTGGCAGGACCACCTCTGAAGAGGAGAGGACAGTTCAGTCTCTTAATTATTCAACTATGTATACTGATGCTATCATTTATAAAGATATTTATTATATGTAACAAGAATTGATAGACAAACTCACTTCACACAAACTGCCGAACAGCCTTCAGGTGTAATGGCTTTTAGTCCCTTCTGACTTGTATCTAACTGTTCAGGTGATTTGGTTTCTTCCTATTATCAGCACGCACAGCAGGCTAATTGCACAACACTGAAATGCAAATCATAATTTAAAAAAATGTACCTGGCTGTTCTTCCCACTCTATGAATGTATGTACTTGCATCCTCCGGACAATCAAACTGAATGACCCAGTTCACCGCAGGAAAATCTGTTGAGAAAGAGTCAAGTTTTAAGACATTGGAATATTTTACTTTGCGTACTATTTCCTGAGAGCGCCATCACTCAGATCAATTTATAGACACTGCTATGAGCTATCTCTCTGAATTGAAAATTAATTTCATGTATCAGCATATCATAAACAGCTATCCTCTTTCTCAAAGTGAACTAAAATTAATGGTGTCTTCATTTTCTAAGTAATGACAGAACACTGAATGGAACATAATTTCACACTTGACAAGGACAGACAAATGCTCTGTGTCTTACAGATAATAAAATGCCCTTGCATTTAATGATTAAATAGGTAGATTCAACCCATTCTGTGTAGAATATCAATTTACTACACAATCAGAGCTTGAAATTATCTGTGGTCAGATGCTACCACATCTACCCAGGCATTAAAACATCATTGTCTAATTCAATAATAGCAAGGAGGAGGTTACTAGGTAAGACTGAACAGGCCATGCTGAAAGACAGCCATAGTTGAAAGGAAGAAAGCATAGAATGCCCATTGATTTTGAGGTTAACAGCAACATTCTATTGTAATGTGTAGAATCAGTATTTACTATTGGATTATGAGACTGGTCACAGGATATGCAACAATTATGCGCACAACTATTTCTAAGCAGATACATCCAAATAAATTCCTTAGCAGTGAGAACCAAACAGTAAAGAAAGTAAAGATATTAGGCCTATGTTTTGTCTCCTGCAAATTATTTCCCTCTTCTAATTTGTTAGAGGCAACATGGTATTTTGGGCCAATGAATTTTGCTACTGAATGTTAGAACCCAACTTCCAATGCCAGACAAGTCCAAGTGAGTTTTTGAAAGCACTCTGAATTACATTTAAATGTGAGCAAATAATATTTTAAGATACAAAATCACCACAAGAAAACAACAGCTAATACACTTGCTTTCTAATAAAAACCAGTCCAGAGAAAGCAAGACCTACACAAAACTACTGTCATCAAAAGGAATCTTCTTGTTCTTGCCTCAGTTTTCCTTTTGCCTTTTTAGAAGCAACAAAGGAGAGTTGATTTCTCACACAGACACATTTTAATTCAGAAGCAAGTATTACCAACCTCTCCTTTCATTAGTTACTGGTTGGTTGCTCATTTTATCTACTCTTTACTAACCCAAGAGACATCAGAATATTGAAAATCTTTACAAACTCTCCTTCTAGCATATAGAATACAGGACTATGTAGCACTTTAAAGACTAACAAGATGGTTTATTAGATGATGAGCTTTCGTGGGCCAGACCCACTTCCTCAGATCAAATAGTGGAAGAAAATAGTCACAACCATATATACCAAAGGATACAATTTTAAAAAAATGAACACATATGAAAAGGACAAATCACATTTCAGAACAGAAGGGGGATGCGGGGGGGAGGTAGGAAGGTGAATGCCAGTGAGTTAATGATATTAGAGGTGGGGAAGGGGGAAACCATCTACTACAAGACAGACCCAAGAAAACCAACAATAGAACACCACTTGTCATCACCTACAGCTCCCAACTTAAACCTGTCCAACACATTATCAATAAATTACAGCCTATACTGGAACAGGACACTAAACTTGAAGAAGCTCTGGGAGACAGACCCATAGTCTCCTATAGACAACCACCTAACCTCAAGATGATTCTTACCAACAACCACAGGACATACCACACTAATACCAACCCTGGTACTTTCCCTTGCAACAAACCCCGCTGCCAGCTTTGTCCACATATTCACTCTGCTGACACCATTATTGGACCTAACCAAGTGAGTTATAAGATCAAGAATACATATTCCTGCGCCTCCAGAAATATAATCTATGCTATCATGTGCCGGAAGTGTCCGTCTGCTATGTACATTGGACAAACGTCTCAGACACTTCGCCAAAGAATCAATGCCCACAAAACAGACATTAGACAGGATCACAAAGAAAAAACAGTTACTTGTCATTTCAACCAGAAAGGACACTGTCTCAATGACCTGCTAACCTGCATCCTACTTCAGAAGACATTCAAATCTGCACTTGAAAGGGAATCCTCTGAACTGGCATTCATGCTAAAATTCGACACTCTCCGCAGGGGACTTAACAAAGACTCCAGCTATCTTACCCATTACAAAGATAGCTTCCCTAATTATCACCTAAAATATCATTAGCCCACACACATTCACCTCCCCCCCCAACTCCCTTCTGTACTGAAATTTGATTTGTCCTTTTCATATGTGTTCATTTTTTTTAATTGTATCCTTTGGTATATATGGTTGTGACTATTTTCTTTCACTATTTTTGCTTTAGAAAAGGTTAGTACCTCTCCCATCCATCACACTTGTAATGCTGTTTACCACTGATATGTTGAACAGAGAACCACACAGCTTCAAACCCGTAGACCGTCCAGCTGTTCCAGCAATTGGGAACTTGTGCAAAGGAAATAGATAACAGGAAGGGGATGTCCTATATGCTAGAATATAGCATATAGGACATCATTCAGATCAAATAGTGAAAGAAAATAGTCACAACCATATATACCAAAGGATACAATTAAAAAAATGAACACATGAAAAGGACAAATCACATTTCAGAACAGGAGGGGGATGCAGGGGGGGGGGGAGGAAGGAAGGTAAGTGTCTGTGAATTGATGATATTAGAGGTAGGGAGAGTGGGATGTTTGTGAGTTAATGGTATTAGAGGTGATAATTGGGGAAACTATCTTGGTAATGGGTGAGATAGTTCAAATGTTTGTTGAGTCCTTTTTGGAAAGTGTCGAATTTTAACATGAATGACAGTTCAGAGGATTCCCTTTCAAGTGCAGATGTAAAAGGTCTTTGTAGCAGAATGCAGGTGGTTAAGTCATTGAGAGAGTGTCCTTTCTGGTTAAAATGGCAAGAAACTGTTTTCTCTTTGTGATCTTGTCTGATATCTGTTTTGTGGGCATTAATCCTTTGGCGAAGTGTCTGAGATGTTTGCCCAATGTACATAGCAGACGGACACTTTCGGCACACGATAGCATAGATTATATTTCTGGATGCGCAGGAATATGTGTTCTTGATCTTATAACTCACTTGGTTAGGCCCAATAATGGTGTCAGCAGAGTGAATATGTGGACAAAGCTGGCAACGGGGTTTGTTGCAAGGGAAGGTACCAGGGTTGGTATTAGTGTGGTATGTCCTGTGGTGGTTGGTAAGAATCATCTTGAGGTTAGGTGGTTGTCTATAGGAGACTATGGGTCTGTCTCCCAGAGCCTCTCCCCTTCTGTTCTGAAATTTGATTTGTCCTTTTCATATGTGTTCATTTTTTTTAATTGTATCCTTTGGTATATATGGTTGTGACTATTTTCTTCCACTATTTGATCTGAGGAAGTGGGTCTGGCCCACGAAAGCTCATCATCTAATAAACCATCTTGTTAGTCTTTAAAGTGCTATATTGTCCTGCATTTTGCTTCAGCTACCCCAGACTAACACAGCTACATTTCTATCACTAACCTTTTCTAGGCATCCTAGCATTCAGTAACTAAAGGGTTAAACCCAGAACACTGGGTATCCAGGAAATGAGAGCCAAAGAGGCTGGTGAGAGATTTGAATTGAAAGCAGCCATGTGCCTGCTGCAATTCTTTGTGTGGTTTTAGAGAGGAAAAAGCTGGGGAAAGATTAAATGAACCCTGAGAGTCAGAGACAGAATGTCCAGCAATATTCATGTCTACAGAGGATGGAGTTGAGATCAAGAAATGTGAGCAGACAGGGAATGTGTAATTAGACACAACCAGGTTTTTTTTTTTAATTTCTGGATTGTGAACTCTTTGCTGAGTCCATGTGTCCCATTCCCCCCACCACTTTGTACACTGTAACTGAAGGTGAATCCCAGGGAAGCAATTCTCTGTGTTTTAATCTGTTCCCCCCCTCCCCCCCTCGGTTGCTCTGTAACACCTGGCAACCAAGTATGCTTTACCAAATACAGTAAACTTCCGATAATCCGGCACCTTTAGGACCCAAGGGGTACCGGATTATCAAATATGCCCGACTATCAGAAGGGGGGGCTATGAGGGGTCTTGGGTGGGGGGGATGAGGGTGCGGCACTGTGGGACCAATCCGGCAGCACCCCAGTTGCTCTGCCCCAGGCGTCCCCAAGTCAGCTGCTGCTGAAACTGACTAGTAGCTGACTCCGGGAAGCCCAGGGCAGAGCAGCTCCAATTATCCGGCTGCCCGAAGCACTTCCGGGTTCCAGGTGGTGCCGGACTATCAGGAGTGCCAGACCACTGGATGCCGGACAACTGGAGTTTTACTGTAGTTCTTTTTTTGTTTTGTTAATTAAAAAACACACACACCTTTTTAATGCAATTCCTGTGTCCTACAAGGCAGGAGGATCTATATCCACGTGCTTAAGACTGAGGGGTCATCTATTAGAAACTACAGCTATTAGAAATTTTCAAGCTCTCTCCTGAAAGAGGGTAAAGAGCTTGGGGTCCCCCACAGGAAGAAATTGCCAAGTGAGTCTTCCTGGGTTTGGGAAAAGGGTGCAACAGTATACCACATACAGTCAGGGAATCTGTGATTTGGGGGAATTTTTAAGCAGAAGCCTATAAAGGCAAAGTATTTTTAAAGTCTCTTGTGGGCCCCCACCTTCTGCACTCAAAGTGCAAGTGTGTGAAACAGCCTTGACAACAAGAATGCTCAATACATAGATTTTACAAAAACAAACAGGAATAAACTAAATACTAAAGAGAAAGATTGTGTTGAGGAGAAAGTATTTTAATTATTTTGCTTTTTGGGACATCATGATTAACTTTAGATGAAGAGACAAACTAAATGTAGGCTTATTTTTTAAATCCTTTTTAAAGCCCAGTTTCTTACAGGCTGCATGGCTTCTTTCAATGCTAAGAAGTGACCAGGTTTGGAACACCGCTCTATAGATACATTATTGCATTGAAGGTTACTTACCCAGCCCTCGAGCTGCAATATCTGTAGCAAAGAGCACTGCCGATTTCTTGCGAACAAAGTCATTATAGACCTCCATTCTTTTCATCTGTTTTTGTTTGCCATAGAGGGCCAGTACAGATATGCCAGGGCGGAGCCTACAGAACACTCTGAACAAATACTGAACCTGTTGATCAACAAACAAGTCAAAGAGAAGACATGAACGTGATATCTCACTGTGATAGTGGTAATTATCTAAGTGGAGAGAGATTATCATTCTGCTGCCTAACACTGAGACAAGAAGTTCATTTTATTAGGAAGACGCTTCCTGCTATGTGGAGTATGGCAATACCTGGTTAAGAGCGTGCCAGGTCTTGCAAAGAGCTGGGGGGTGCGGGTTGTGGAGATACACTTCTGACTCGCCAAGACAAAATGCTGTATGCACTGGAGCAGATCTCACTAGAGTAACTGCTCTCACAAGCACTTCGTTGCACAGACAGACACCAAGACTGAAAATCAAGGTAAATCCACAACCACCTAATTTTAATACTTCCACCAAGACATTTGCTGACTGCTTATTATAGTGCACAACAATGCATGATTTTTTGTAACTGCCAAGAGTATTATTAAAGAATATATTTCCTTACTCAATAATGGAAATAATTTCTATAAAAAAATTGTTTCTTCTCTCCATACTGAAGTCAGCAATGTGGCAACATGGATATTCACACGTGCCTGCATCAGTCATCTAAAAACTTGAAAAACAAATATATCAATAAACATTTTCAACTAAAATAATCTGCAAGGCTGCTATATAAGCAATAGTCAAATTATTAAATATCTCTGGCATCCTTGTGCAAGATACTTACACACCAGTAACTTCCATGAACTGTGTGTGGGAATAAATTTACTTTCATACGTGTTTTCAGGATCAAGTCATATGACCATAAAGAAAGTCTTCCATAATCTCAACTTCTTACTCTTATTTCATATTTTCAGCCTATCCACACCAGTTAAAAAAAAAAAAAAAAACAACCTATTCTTACTGAAACAACTTTTACCATCTATTTTTAAACACATGTTAATGGCAAAATGTGAGTGCAAAAATTAAGTCTTTTTTGTAGATTTCAAAGTCATTAATTTCACTCCACCATACTTGATTACATCAAAAAAAAAAGTCACTATTAGGAGACAAATAGGAGTTGTACCTCTTTACAACTTGAAAAAAACACAATGCTCTTCTTCTTTAAATGACTTCTCAGGAAGGAATACAACATGTTTATCTTTTGCTGCAGCTCACAAACAGTATAATTCTGGTCCAAAGTTGCCGGGGTACTGAAAAATAAAGGTCAAATACGACACTGCTCATATCAGTTAAATAAGAAAACCAGAAGAGCCACACCCACAGATTATCTACAGATTTATCACTGTTTGCATCCATCAGAAATTTAAAGTTAATGTTTTACTGCCTTCGTGTTCATTATGCTGAGAATGCTTTCTTCCCTATTTTCAGATGCATGCCTGGAATTAAAACTCGTGCATTTTGAAGATATGATTTTCCTATTACAGCTTGTACCTCCAAAAACAGGCACTCTCTGGTCCGGCAACATCCATCATACAGCAGGACCACAGATGCTCCTGGACTAAGGTTGTTAAGGAGCAGGTATCTGGCTAATTGTGTAGTCAATACAATTTGTACAATCAACTGTACAATTAGACGACAAGGAGAGGTACTCTGCAGAGCTGCAGCAGGGGTAGCTCCTGGAGCTGGCACGAGCCAGGACTGAGCATTCTTGGCTTGCACTGGGTCCCAGACTGCTGCGCCTCTGCCTTTTAAATGTAGCAAGAGCAGCCCAACTCTTACTACATTTAGTAAAGGCAGAACCGCAGCAGGGATAGGTCCAGGAACTGGAGAAAGCCAGGACTGAGCAGTCCCAGCTTGAGTAGAGTCTTGGACCGCTATGCCTCTGCCTCCCCTGCATCCCCACCATGCAGAGACAGTACTGGATGGGAAGAAAACAGCTTTTAAGCCAACTTTCCCCAGCATAGGCTCCTGCTTTCCCACTCCTTTTGCTGCCTCTGTATCCAAGGCAGCAAGGGGTGGGGTGAAGAGCGAGTAATTAAATAGTAACTCGACTACCTGATAAACCTAGGCTTATTGGGTAGTCAACTACTCAAGTAGTTGCTTACATCCCTATCCTAGACCATAGAGCCCGGGAGCATAAGGGCAGGAAGGCCAGTTGGCTGGGGCAAGAAGGTCAGCAGCTCAGCTGGAGGCAGCAAGAGACAGGCTGAGGATGGAGCCCCGCAGCAGCATGGGGCCAGTATCTGTCACACACGCCCCTGGACACATGGGGCCGGGGCATTGTGGCCCCAGACATGCAGGGCCGGAGTCAGCCCCGCAGCATCCCAAGACCAGAGCTTCTCAGCATCCTACTGGAACTTGGAGCCAGGGCATCATGGCAGCCCCCTGGAGGACAGGGCAAGGGTCCCATAGCTGCCCCAGGGTGCACAGAGCCTGTGCTGCCCAGGGAGCCGGAAGCAGGTGGGCCAGTAGCCCACCCAAGCTGGGGGTGAGGCAGGGTTGCCTGCTGAGGCAGCCTACCAGTAGCAGGTGATGGGCTTGGAGGCCAGTGGCAAGAGACCTCCTCTGGTCTAGCAAATTCTCTCATTCCGGACTGGGCAGGTCCTGACAGTGTCAGACCAGGAAAGTCCAACCCATAATAGCATCACAATTTAAGCTACTTTTTAAATCCAGATGACTATTAAGTCAAAATCTATCAAAAAATGCCTGTGTCTAAATAGTGGCATTCAAACTGCCATGACCTAAAATACAAACTTTTCTTTCTAGTCCTATTAAAGCATCATTTATGCTTAGGGCAATGTCAAAGCAGAGTCTAAATGTATAAGATGATACATTTTCAACTGACTGCACTGTGGCATGTAGAGCATCTCTGCAAGGGTCTAAATTGTCATCTTGAATTACTTCTCAGGTCTTTAAACGACAAAAGAGAATAGCCTATGAAAGATTAGTTCTTAGCACACTTTAAAATGCTGCTTTGATGATTTCTACCTCCCACTCCAGATCAACCAAACTGAAATTAAATGCAACTTGAAGAAGCCATTTGTGAGGATGAAACCGCAATGCTCTGTTGTGATTTTTATTCAGCTTGTAGAGCTCTAAGACATGCTACAGTAGCTGCCATTTTGTAAATCTCTTGCAGAAAATTGTTTTTCACTAACTGATGTAATGTTGCCTGCTAAGATTATAATTTTAAAACCAAACTAATGCTTTCCATTTATTTTTGCTTCAGGTTGTAGTCTAACTGCAGCTACTGAAATATTTCAAAAACTCGAAGCAGCATTATAATAAAGACATTCCATTTCAACAGGAAAATGAACTGAGCATACAAATAGCCATACCAACTTACAAACTAACATAGCTTTATATTTAGTTATGTCTTTTTCTTCTTTTCCACCATACAAAAAGGGGATAGAAACACAATTTACATTGTCAACCATTTCCAATTATTCAAGATCCTTTAGGTAATACTGTCACAAGTGTATGTGAAATAAGGAATTAAGAAGCTGGTTGAAGTATTAAGAGTAGTGGACTCGGAGTCAGAACTTGAGTTCTATTCTCCACTCTGACAATGTGTAATCTTAGGCAAGTCATTACTTCAGTGTGCTTTGTAAAGTAGATAGGTATTTTTATACATCACAGGGAACCCAATAGATGTAAGCATTCAAACTGGTCACAAAATGTTTGCTGGAACAGTTCCCCATGGGAATATGCCATTACAATTAAATTAGATTTAGTTACATCTTTGTATCAATTTTGAATAAAAATGCTGTGAAAGAACATTTTTTCCTAAGGGAAAAGGTTTTCTTATTGGAAATTGTCAAAGCTTCATTTCAGAACACAGCTTTAAAATTGAATGCATTTTGTTTTGTATTTCTACATTATTTTAGGTCATCAGTGGTAATACTACATATGCCATTTCAAGTCCGGTCATTAGTGGAATTATCAACACATCATGACACAGCAGTCAAAAAAGTCTATTCATTTCTTTTTTATTTTATTTTTCAAGTATTAAAAATGGCAGCTGCTACTTAATATAGACAAACACTTTTTCTTATTTTCTAGATCAAAGAATCTCCCATTTTTGTTCTAACGACCATCTGGCACTGACATTAAAATAAAAATAAGCAATAGAGTACTAATTCTAAGAGCAGCTATTGTCAATATCCTTCCATTAGTCTGGAATCATTTTTCTAGTACATTGAAAAAACAGTTGGTCCTCTACTTTGTATAATGATTATTGATTTTCTAGATCAAGATCTCAAACTGTTTCATAATAGAGAGACTAATCTAGAAAGTAAGATGCTCCCATCTGTAGTTAGTAGCACCCATCCTTAATGATGTTGGAAACAAAACACAAATATAAAAATGAAAAAAATTTCAAAAAGAAAATTAGATTTTTGGGTCAGGGAAATCAATTTTTTTAGAATTTCCTTATCACTGAAAATTTGAAAATATCCATTTTCATTCCAATTCAGAACAAAACCAAAATCTGAAACACTGTAATTTCCCATGAAACAGGAATTTTTAATTTCTAGTAGTTCCATTAAACATTCATGTTTGTAAAGTAATTTCAGATCCTCAGAGAAAATAGCCTAAAGAAGTTCAAAGTTTTATTAAACACCATTTTCTCCACTGGGTTTGCTCTGCTTTTTTCCCCTCTTCCAAAACATAAGTGACAGTACATACATGCACCCTTTTACATCTAGTTATATTTACAAAGTTAAGCTAAGACACGTTCATTAAACTATAAGTGAACCATAACTACTAATACAATATACTTCAGCTGCTTGCTTTCAAAATAAAGCATCATGAACCAGTGTTTGAATGGGGGGGAATTAACATTATGACATCATCCCACTTCCCAGATGCGCAGGGAAAGAAGTTAAGAAAAGTGCAGTTATCACTTTCTTTCTCTAGTATAAGCACTTTCGGATTTGAATAGTTAACCGGTAGGGACTGCAGCAGCTCCCCACCCATGACAGGCAAGAGGCTGCTCCAGCCCTGGGGCTCACCACAGTCACAGTCCAGATGGCCAGAGCAGGCCTTGTCCATAGCAGGGGGCCCCTGCACCTACCCTCTTCTTTACTTGGTTAACCAATTAAATGGAATTTTACATCTCTAAACAAACACCCAAACTAACCACTACTTACCTGAATTTTGCTTTTTCATGAACCCAAACATATTCTGGATCTTTTAAACTCAGTCGTGCAAGATCCTTCACTGATTTGGTTTGAGTCGCTGAAAAAAGCAACGTCTGGCGTTTCTTAGGAAGATTTTCTATAATTGCATTCATAGTATCTGCAAAGCCCATATCCAAGATTCTATCAGCTTCATCAAGAACTAGAATGAGAAAACAGGTTTAGGAGAACAGGATTTTTAAATTCTTTTCAATTCTAATCCTGAAATTAAAAAGTCTCAATTTGAAGTTTTTGTACCTGTAAAACTATGTTACAAGTAACAAACTTTTAGACCAGGACTTTTATAAACCACATCTTTAACTGATTTTTCTTCAGAATTAATATTCCATTCAATGTAGGAATGTTACTATAAAAGCCCTCAGCTACATCTCTCAATTTCATATGCAGAAGATCAGGATTTCAAGTAAGCAATCCACCAGTTTGCATACATATTGTTTCCTACCCCCCCCCCAAAAAAAAGGGGGGGGGGGCTGGTTATTGAAATGAAGAAAGCTGGACATAAGGTGAAACTGCAGTCTGAGTAGTCAGGTCAACCAATTTACCCCTGCATCTAGTTGCCATATACACATACGGAAGGGGGGTGCAAAGGCTAAGGCAAGGGCCAATGCTAAATACAGTTCTGTGGATAGTCAATCTCTAACTTGTCCAGTATGAAATGTATTTAGTATAATGTGTTTAGTATTGAGTAATTTGTCAGTTATATTGCAGGTCTGCAAGTCAGCTACATAACTGATTACAGAAAGGAACTCTTGCTAACAGCAGGATAATGAACTCTGCCCTGCCACCAACAGCTTCCAAAAGCAATCAAGAAAATAACGAAAACTATAAGTTCCCCAAGCCAGTGCTACCAATCACGTGTAAGCAGCTAACCTTGTAGTAAGCTGAAATTGGTATACAGGACACCACAGGATGCCAGGCTCGCTAACTCTCTGCTAGCCCTGCTATCTGTGACCACTACTGAAATCGAGCATCTGTGCTAGAGGGAGCTGTGTTCAACAGTTGCTTAGCATGTGAAAGAGAAAAAGCTTTATCTGTACAGAGCCAAAAATCACTTGTATTTCACCTGTTCTCCATTGACTAAGTAGCAGCCAAGGAGCAGCAGCAGTACTGGAACTAGAGCAGACAAAAGAACTGTCAAACAGGAGAACTGAGTTTGTAAGAGGGGTTTAGAGGGTGAGTGGTAGTGTTCTGGTTTTGTTTTGCTGTTTGCAGTTTGTTTTGTCTTTCTTGACAGGACAGTAGGCAGGAAGGCTATGAAAGATACAGAGGCAGCAGTGGTAGTGACCAAGGAACAGAAGAGACAATGAAGATGACAGGGTGTGGATGCTTGTAGCCACACATGAACCCCATCTTGGTTTCCGCCCCCCGTCTCCCCAGAGAGCAAGAGAAAGGCAGTCAGCCTTTGATGCCCTGGAAACGCATGTGTGCTGCCTGTCCCTGACTCTACCATAAACAGAAACCAGACAGTAAATGGGCTAGCTGACGACTCAGGGCCTCCCGCCACCCTGATGGCTAGTACTAGTAATTGACACGCCTGCACTGTCCCAGGAGAGGGATCTTCGCCCATCACATACCAGAGGTGCCCATTGTCTGCATTTTCCCAGGTGTGAATTATGCTTTGCACGCTGCGTGGGAAACTTGGCGTTCAAAGCCATTTTTCCTAATTGGCCACTTGAGACCAGGAAGAAGCCTACGTGACCCAAGGGGTATAAAGAGGGGTTTAGTAACCCACCCCATTTGAGCTCCAATCATCTACACCTGCTGGCAGGTACTTATTGTCTCCCGAGATCTGTGGGATGCCCAACCTCGCCCTACTTCTTCCCGAGATATTGAGAGAAAGACCCTGGCCACGCCAAGTCTGGAATGCAGGGGTGAGAATATATACCTGCTAGGTGTCTATTTTGCATGCATTTAATAAGAGCTCAGAGAACCAAAAGGGTTTCATGGTACCTATAAGTGACTTATTAGTGTAATTTCTGTCCTGTTCTTTGTAGTGGCTGTGTTATCTGTAAAAGTGTTATCTGTAACTCAGTAGTAGCATTTAGCAGCTAAGTTTATCCTGTTTTAATAAACCTGTAACTGTTTAAGCTTTAACCTGACTCCTTCAGTTGCTGTAACAGAACCAAGCACAATTTAAAAGAACTTCAGCCGGTCATAAGGGACAGGTATAGGAAGAGCTTGGGCGTTTTGGATCATGTCACTCCCAGGTGACAGATCCGTTGGGGCATCTCTCAGTCTTCCCTAGACTGCCCCTAGACTGATTCTGTATCCTAGCAGCTAAAATCTGAGATGTAATAAGCTCTTCCTATAAATTCGGGGCGTCTGTCAGCCTGTTGGCTGCCCTCTGCAACGGGACCGCGGTCCTAGCAGTAAAGTTACGGATGTTAAATAAATCAATCTCTCCATCCCTTCCCTCCTCCCCCACCCTCCACACACACACTGCCCTGACCGTTGACAGGACAGTAGGCAGGAAGGCTATGAAAGATACAGAGGCAGCAATGGTAGTGACCAAGGAACAGAAAAGACAATGAAGATGACTGGGTGTGGATACTCCGACATGTATGCGACCCTGGAACAAGTACCTGCAAAGAGCTTTGTCTGTATGAAGTGCCATCTGACAGAGTTGATAGAAAGGAAGATCCAAGATTTGGAGATGCAGGTGAAAACTCAGTCTGAGCTCCGAAGGGAATTCAAGCAGATGGAGGAAAGGGAGAGGAGGCTGAAGGAAAGAGTCAAGATTGGTGGAAATAAGCTGGATTGAAGAACTGAGAGGCACTGCTTGGTGAGGAAAGTGACTAGTGGAAGCAGGTGGCTACAAGAACAAGATGAAGGAAAAGAAAAGCTGGTAAAGGAGCTCAAGAACAAGTTTGCCAAGTTGGAAAACGAAGAAGGTGAAAAGCAAGCTACAAGTGAAGGAGGGAAAGCAAGAGAGATTAGAAGAGCAGCAACCTCTGTAAGAAGAGGGGAAGAGCCCAAGGAAATACACCAAGTTCACAGCCCCAGGATGATAGAGTTGGACTCTCAGAAGATTACAAGGAAGAATAAGAGACAAGAGAACTTACAGACAGAAAGAACAGGAGGAAGACTGGAGAAATACCATCAATTGTGAAGAAACACAGGTCTACATGATAGGTAACTCCTTACTAACAGACAGACAGACAAACAGGCATGTCACCAGAGCTAATCTGTTGAGAGGCAAGACAAAAAAGTGGATCAAAGACTGAAGAGGATCGGGTGAGGAATCTGAGTGAAGCCAAGCATCAAAAACTAAGAAGTTAGTACACCAATGCAAGGAGTCTGGGTAACAAAATGAAGGCACCAGAACTACTAGTGTAGGAAATGAAACCAACCCATTACAAAAGAAAAACAAACATGGTGGAATAATCGTCCTGACTGGAGAACAGATATTCAATGTAGGGATGCAAGCGACTAGTCGAGTAGTCAACTACCCAATAAGCCTAGGCTTTTCAGGTAGTTGAGTCCACTACTCACATTCCCCGCCCAGCTTGCTGCCCCTGTATCAGAGGCAGCAAGGAAGGGGGAAAGCAGGCACCAGTACTGTGGGGAGCCAGCTAGATCAGAGGCAAGAGTCTGGGTCAGGCAGCTGGTCTGCATGAGGAGCTGGTTTTTAAACTGGTTCCCCTCATGGACCAGCTCCTGCCTGCCACCCAGCGCTGCTGCCTCTGATACAGAAGCAGCAGCAGGGGGTGGCAGGGAGCATCCCAGGAGTGGGTCCAGCATGCACTGGCTGCCAGCCCCGCATCCAGGAACTATCAAATAGTCATGTAACCACAAAGATTTCGTGTGGTTTACACAACTATTCAGTTACCTGATATCTAGCATTCCTAGTTAATAGCATTATACAAAGCACTGGTGAGGCCTCACTGGCAATACTGCAGGCAATTTTGGCCTCCCATATTTAATAAAGATGAATTCAAAATGGAACAGATAAAGAGAAAGGCTGCTAAGATAATCCACGTGTGACATAATATTCTAAATCCTTTATGAAAATATTATGATGTGAATAGGACATGAGACATAAGACAGCTCATGTAAAGTCATAGGAAAGGTTATAATTTACTGAATATTATTATCCCATTCATATACATGTATCATTTTTGTAGATGAAATTACAAATATTGACCTGTGTATCCATGTTTCATGTTTGCTACTTTGGGTCACTCCCACTGCTGATGCTTCAGAGTCTATAATGGAAAAGCCAGGGTTTGATGGCCCATCAACTAGTACAATAAACTGTGAAAAAGCTTGACCTTTCTGAGGACTATTCCATAATGCTACTGACTCATGGACAACCTAGTCACCTGATACTAACCAACCCCTTGATCTGATGAACTGTTCCACAGGGCATGGAGGGAAATCAAATAAAGACTTCCTGCATTTTGGAAATTCTAAAATAAGGAAGGAAAACAATTGACTTCAGCTTCATTTACTTCTGCCTTCCCATCCCAAAGTGATACTTGAGAACCCTTGGAAACAAAAGGACAGTAACTAAAAGGGTGTGGGAAGAACTGCTGGACCAAGCCAAAAAGATTCTCTAGAGCCTATGAAAGATTCTACCAAAAACAATGTGTAGGGTAAGAAATTATTAGTTGTAACCAGTTTTTTTTAAGTAATCTACCTTAGACTGCATGCTTTGTATCATTTTCTTAGTAATGTACTTAGCTGTTTGCTACTTCTTTAATTACTTAAAATACACCTTTTTTATTGTTAATACATTTATTTCTGGTTTATATTATTACTTAGTTTATGTGATTTTTAACTCGGGGGGGAGAGGCTGTGCATATTTTCTATCACTTCCAAGGCAATGGGGACAAAAACCTAACTGGCTTCAAGACTGAGCTTGATAAACTTATGGAGGTGAAGGTACAATAAGGTTGCCTACAATGGCATATGACCAATTTGCCACTACAAGCAAAATTCCCCAACATATGGTGATGTAACACTAGCTGGAGACAGATCTGAGTTACTACAAATAATTCTTTCCTAGATGTCTAGCTGATGGGTCTTTCCCACAAGCTCAGGATCTGACCACCAACCAATCATATCAAAGGCTTGGAAGCAATTTCCCCCCTCCAAAATTAGATTAGCAGAGATCTAGGGTGTTTTTCAACTTGTGCTACAGCATAGGACAGGGATCACTTCCAAGGTTCAACTAGTATAAATGGCGGTTTCTCTGTAACTTGAAGTCTTTAAAAAAATTTAAATCATGATCAGATGACTCCCATAACTCATCCAGAGCTTACGGATCCATTAGACGTGTGGATAGATGAAGTTCTGCGGCCTGCAATATGCAGGTGGTCAGACAAGATAATCATGATAATCTCTTCTTAAAATCTAAGGACATCATAACAGTGGAACACTTAAGTAAAAAGGTTGGTTTGTTTTTTAAATAGCTTTCAAACATTTGTAACTTACTCAACATTTGGAGATCAGATGCATGGAAATACGAAGTTTCATCCATATGCTGTAGAAGCCGACCTGGTGTGCAAATAAGTATATTTAAATGATGGATTTTGTTGGCCTCTTGTTTCAGATCCTGAAAATTAGTTAAAAGACAGGTTAGTTCTGATTACACACCTCTAAGGTAACCAAATCCAGGGGTGGGCAAAATATGGCCCACAGACTGAATCCAGTCTGCCACCTAGTGGGATCCTCATCCAGGCTTCCTGCCTGCCCCACCCCCACATATCCTCAGAGCAGCTAGCTCAGTGGGCCATGTGTGCTGCTCTAAATTCTGTGAGTCTGTGGAGAATGGGGAGAAGATTTGCATGCTGCTCCCACCCCAACACAATCTCACAGCTCCCATTGGCCGGCTTCCTGCCAATGGGAGCTGCCTGTTTACAAGACAGGCAGCATACAAATTACCCCTTCCCCTGGGCTCACAATGTTCAGAGGATCACACATGGCCCCC